GGGTGGGGGCAGGAAGGGTTTGTTCTCTGGGTCCCACAAGTCTCTAGTGATTATCATGCAAGCCACCGTGAAGTAAACATATGGTCGATCCTCACATATCCTCACATTTCCAAAAGTCCCAGTTTATTTATGTCTAGTAACTGGGCCTCTGTTGTTTACTGAAAAATATAATATTTAAGGAAAAACGATGTAGAAGACTGGCTATGCATTTCTTTGCTTTTGTTCTTTAGAAAGCAATGCAGTATTTGGTGAAGCCTGGCTGGTTGCATCAGAACATTCTCCCTTGGAATTACAATTAATTCAGCTTAACATAACTCTCAGATATTTACCTGTAAGATGATCGTAATGCCACAAATGCCCTGTGGTAAGCAGTTAGTAAGAATTGTAACCTCCAGGTAACCAAACTTATTCGAGAGTATATATTACGTGTCACTAGAATCATTTATCTACTTGGGTTTAGGGAATGACCTGATAAAAATGCACCTTGATAGCCTTCTGTCTTTTGGACAAGCACAGGCATCACTACTTCAGCCTTGAATAATTTTCTGGGGAGCTGCAACATGTCCTGGCAAACGGCAGTCAGCAAACATCTGCTTGGATTTCAGCTTTGTCTTTGAAATAATAGCCTGACCATGTTTCCAATGAACACGTCTGGAGTTAGTGCCAATTTCCCTTTGTACTTTGTATCTTTTAATACAAAGATAAAACACTAACTTTTTTAAAATAAGAAAACATCTCCATAAGGAAACTTACTAACCCATCTATACAGAGGAATGGATGTGGCATCTCCAGCTAAAATCTCCATGCAGATCACTAAAAATCAAGTTGCAGATAAAGCTAGAAATATGCACAAAGCCAAGTGGAATTTTTTGCCATCTGAAGCTGCTTCTCCCACGCCTGAATGTGATGGAATATCCACCCAGTTGGTGCCTTCTCCATCCTGTATCAGTAACGAAGCCCAAATCCAGGTGCCTCTTTATAGATCTGTTAAATTGCATATCTGTGTACTCTCTATCCAGATCCAAATCACTGTTTGCATTGCAGCCCCCTAAAGTACACCCCTGTTAAGCCTAGACTAATAAGTAGATAAACACAGAGAATAAGAATCGCAGATACTGCTGGAAAATGTTACGTTAGCTGAAAGAAAGGCCCCATTTCACTTTTATGACAACTAACCCAGTTCCTTATAGACAACAACTTCCTTAAGGCGTCTGGTGATGGCTGATGGAGTGTCTCACACACACGCCGTTCTAGGTGGCAAAGGAGCAATGAAGGGTAATTTTACCTTTCATCAGCGAAGTAATAGGGAGTGGAGAAATCAGATGGCGGCGGTGCCGTGTAGCTTTTTGAACTGCCTCGTGCCCTTTCCCCTGAGTGTGACAACATTTTTAATGTTTTGCCTCTTACTGCACGGAAGCCCTGGAAATGAATTTTTGATGTTTCAAAATGAGCCTTACGAGGAAATCAGAGAAAATGGTCAAAATACAGTATGAATAGTTCTTATAATACATCTTTAAAATAAGGTGTGTTTTAGAAGAAAGGTTTGTTTGGGCTTTTCACGCCAGAGGTCTGTCTGGGTTTTTACTACCCGAGGGAAAGGCCTGCTGCTCCCCGCAGCCCCCCGGGACCCCTGTCGCAGTCATCCGTCCCGACTGCAACGTGCCCACAGCTTCCAATCACTGCTTTCTTTGTTACTGCCGCCGTGGAGTTGAGGCACACGATGGTATTTGGAAGACAAAAAAGGACTGCTGTAACGGGCCAAGAAGGCAAACTCTGGCAAGTGGGGCCTATCAAAAGCAAACATGCGTAGTGATCAGTGAAGAAAAAAAAGCCTTTATTCTTGGCTGCTGAGTATGGTGCCATCCAGCAAGCTCTTCTTTCATTTCACTGTTGGGGTGAGTCTAAGTCCACCTAGCACCAGAGGCATGACACAGTTGCAGGACTCTGTACTTGAAAACAGAAGAAAATATAAAGTTACAAACACGTCTAGCTGGGGACCATCAGAGTAGCTATGGTTTAGGAGATTTATTTTCAGGTTATCCTTCGGTTCACATGAAAGCCCCACTTCCTTCCCTATGGGCCAGGGGACTGGGCCCCGGACAGGAGTTCTGGAAAAGCCTATAGAGGGCACAGGAGCTTCCCACTGTGGTGGTGGCAGCAGCCGTGCCCGCGGCTCTATGCCTGTCGGTTTAAATCGCGCTCTGGCTGATGGGCAGCACACTGTCCAGCGTGCTTTTCCTGGAACTGCCTTAATGGCTGTGGATAATAGTTTGAAAGGCCCGACACCTGATCTTCCATTAACAGACCTGGCTATTTTCGCTTTTAAATGTCCAAAAGAGCCAATTATCCTGAAAATCTCCAATTAAGTGTACCAGATTGAATTATAGAAGTGGATATTTCAGGAAAGTCCCCCCTGTGTTCCAAGTTTGTCCAGGTGAGGTAGAATGTTCATGGTGAAAACATTTCCTTTTGGCTTTTGTGCTTTGTCCCCTTTCAGAGCACCTACTTTGCAATATCTCCCTCCCTTGGCAGCAGAGGGGAGCAGTCTTGTTTTGGCACAAAACCTCTTGTGAGGAGATAAGCAACATCTTCCCAATGTCCTTACCGCACAGCAAAATGATACCTGTGACTTTCTGTTTGATTGTACAGTGTCACTGGAACACAGACAAGACCTAACGTCAAAATTATTTCTGCTCCAAACACTGAGTCATTTTGGGGGTGATACAGACCTAAGGCACTGTGGTGATCTGCAGAACTGGACACCATCATAGCGAGTCTGGAAACCCTAGGTTTAGGTACAAAATAAACAAGAAATGTACAGTAATAATCTTAATTGTAAAAAGGCTGAGGGAAAGAAACAACCATTGAAAAATTTTAATAAGGGATTTTTCTAGCTTTCCAACCATGCCTAGGAACATCTGCTGATCAGCCAGTGGGTAGGACTTAAGGAAACCAGTTCAGCCTCGTGATTGGCCAGTTTCTGAATTCCTCTGATTTAGGAATTGCTCTGGGATGTTAAAAATTTTTAAACATTTCCATAGATCTGTACCTCTTTATGTTTCACTTTTACTTTCCTTCTAGTAGAGTTGGTAGTGAACACTAGAATCCCCAATGTTGAGTGTGAGCAACACAAAGGTAATTTAGGAAGCTGGATAATGTACAATTAGAAAATCAGACCTTGGAATATCTATGCTTCACATGAGAGGTATCATTTAACTGCCAACATTTAAATGCTTCATGTATTTCGCAGCTGCTGAGATAATAGCTCCCTTAATGATCAAGACCCTACATGCTTACAGAGATTTTTAAATTTTTTCAGCATTATCGTTTGTGAAATTCTATAGGATCAATATTTAGTTGTTTTTTTCCCTCCTCTGACAACAAATTTGCTCAGGGAATAGTACTTCACATGGGATCAACATTATACTCCAGAGTATAATGGTCTTGTTGAGGTAATTCAAGACATCAAAAACAGCAATTATGGTTACCATAAGCTTCATTCATTATTTAAGCACAAACAAAAATAGTTTATTTTATTATTATTTTTTAAATTTGCCTTTTATATCTCTTAAATATCTTTTATTCAATGATCTCTTCCTGATATCCCTTTATATTGATTTTTTAAAAAATTGAGGTAAAATTGGTATTTGCTTTATGGAAATGTAAATTGGTACAGCCACAATGTAAAACAGTATAAAGATTCCTCAAAAAACTAAGACTAGAACTACCATATGATCCAGCTCTTCCACTTCTGAGTATTTATTCAAAGAATGCGAAAACACTAATTTGAAAAGGTATATGCACCCCTATGTTTATTGCAGCCTTATTTACAATAGCCAAGATTCAGAAACACTCTAAGTGTCCATCGATGGATGAATGGATAAAGAAGGTGTGGTATGTTTAGAATACTACTCAGCCATAAAAAATAATGAAATATTGCCCTTTGCGATATTTATGACAATATGGATAGACCTAGAGGGAATTATATTAAGTGAAATAAGTCAAACAGAGAAAGACAAATACTGTATGACTTTACTCTTATGTGTGATCTAAAAAAGCAGAGCAAATGAGCAAACAAACAAACAAAAACCAAACTCATAGATACAGAGAACAGACTGGTGGTTACCAGGGGGGAAAGAAGTTGTAACATGGGCAAATAGATGAAGACCAATTGTGTGGTGATGGATGGTAACTAGACTTTCGGAGGAGATCACTTTGTAGTGTATACAGATGTCAAATTA